CACTTTGTTCGACCCACGGGGTGAGATCTTGCGTGGAGCCCCAGATCGAGGGAGATTATCAGTGGTCTTGTATGTCTTCCATTTTCTAATAATTGCTCCCACAGTTGATTTCTTCACACCAAGCTGCTTACCTATTGCAGATTCAGTCTTCCCAGCCTGGTGCAGGTCTACAATTTTGTTTCTGATGTCCTTTGACAGCTCTTTGGTCTTGGCCATAGTGGAGTTTGGAGTGTGACTGTTTGAGGTTGTAGACAGGTATCTTTTATACTGATAACGAGTTCAAACAGGTGCCATTAATACAGTTAACAAGTGGAGGACAGAGGAGGCTCTTAAAGAAGAAGTTACAGGTCTGTGAGAGCCAGAAATCTTGTTTGTTTATAGGTGACCAAATACTTATTTTCCACCATAATTTGCAAATCAATTCTTTAAAAATCAGACACTGTGATTTTCTGGATTTTTTTTCTCATTTTGTCTCTCATAGTTGAGGTATACCTAGGATGAAAATTACAGGCCTCTCATCTTTTTAAGTGGGAGAACTTGCACAATTGGTGGCTGACTAAATACCTTTTTGCCCCACTGTAGTTTATTCCCCTCATGATCACTTGGCATGCATGGAGCAGATAACTGTCAATAATTATAGCGATCCCATATTGGTTGAACAAAAGAAAATAATCACAATAAAGATAAACTTTATGGATAAGCACCAATTTAGAAATAATCTATTGATATGACATTATGTGGTGTATCCCTCTGTCTAAAAGTATAGAAGAATAAATCATTTCAAAAGGTAACTCCATTGATTTAAATATCCAATTATGTTTATAGACTTTGATATTCTACTGCAGAGAGTCCTTGCCATGTCCAGTTTTGCAAACCAGCAATGCTCAGTACTGGAATTGATCAGATTCAAGCTAATGTTCTCCAAATCAAATCCGGATCTTCGACTTGACCCGAGATGAAACACACAGGCTGCTTTAAAGGCCCGTCCACACAACAGCTTCAAAAAAAGCATGCCGGCGGGCGTGTCTGAAGCTCGACCAACAACCAATCACATGAATCTCCCGCCCCTGACACACAAGCAGCGGTTTGATTGGCTAGAGCTTGTACTGGCATATGATTTGATTGGCTGACGTTTCCACCGAAACCTTCAGAAGCTTCAAAAGTTGAACATTGCTCAACTTTTGCAGCCTGAAACGCCAGGAAAGCTCCGCTCTGCTACCCACAATTCAGTTCGGCGAAAAGCGAGGCAACGTGACGTCACCCCATTCAAAGTGAATGGGCAGACGCGTTGGAAACCGTTTTTGAAGCTGTCGAAGCTGTAGTGTGGACAGGCCGTAAGGTGGTTTATTCTTAACCTGGTTTAAATTGGGTTCTACCATTTGTGATTCACACATCCAGCTGAGGCAGAGTCTTTACTGGCTATTCTTGAAGCCTGCTGTGTCTGTGTGGATGAGCATACTTCTTAGCAATGAGTGACTTTAACTAAAAACTCAATCTCAATCCCAAATGTGTATAAATATATATTTGTACCCATTACACACTACTGCAGGCATTAGATATATCACGTTTTAACTGTTTACTCCACAATAACAGACATACAATTGAGAAGACAGTGGGCTCAGGACTCTCACCACATCACAGAACAAAATGTAGTATCTTCACCTTATTATTGCCCTTGCAGTATGGGATTCCATGGGCGTACTGCTTGTTAAAGTCAAAGCCATGCTGAACCAGGAACTGGACTGACTGAGGCTCTATGATGTACTCCTCTGAACACAGCAGGGTGAGGTTATACACCTGGACCAGGTACGTGTCTGCAGCCTGGGAGAAAGAGATACAAAGAAAGAATACAATCAGACATAGCATAAAAGTCTGCAGAGGCTAATTAATTTAACCAAAATCCATACAATACATGTCATCAGAATCAGAATCAGAATACATGTATTAGTCCCACAGAAGGGAAATGTACGTAGTTACAGCAGAAAAAGAGCCACCGACAGCTTAATGTTACATATGTCACATATGTTTCATGCATAAAAAAGTATTAAAGTGAAAAAAAAGTTATAATATAATAAAATAAAAAGTTACACAATTTACAAAATACACATCCTGTAACAGTTCTTAGGATTTAGCATCCAGGTATATATTATATATATATATATATATATATATATGCCGTTAATAACTCTGCAATATATAGTTTTATTAAACACTCACCAATATTCTATGTGTGAGAACTTTCTAATTGCCATTCATCTACCAGTTTCTCATGCTCATCGGAAATATGTAATAATCCTTTGATATAAACTAAAGTGTATAAACAAAAGTATATGAACAACAGCAATCTCACCTTATCGTCCAGTTTCTTGTAACAGGCGAATCCCAGAGAGAGGATGGAGCGAGAGCGAGCTGCATGGCAGATGGCTTTATATCTGTCCTCTATAGATCTGAAACATGACAGTGAGGTCAGGGCCAATTCACAGAAAAGCAACACTCAGCAGTAAGACATAGAATCAGCATTGCATATTTTGTATCCATGTTTCTTGCACAACAACCTGTTTATATACACTTTAATGTAGGTATGCATGTACAGTTGAGGAACCTGCAATCTACATTGTTCATACATTACATCATTAAACCATAGTTGTGTATATGTTATGACAATACACCTTTGAATCTTGAATCTTAATGGTGACTGTGTTTGAAAGAAGTGCACAGAGGAAAATTCATGTTTCTACTCACTCGGCCAGCAAGGATTTCCTGTTTCCAAGACCACTCAGCTCCTAAAACAACATGCAGGCAGCAGTTAATACCTTTATTTTGAAATTGGTGAAATCAAGTGACAAATCAAATAGTGACATGGAAAAACAAACAAACAGATTGTATGACAAATCACTTTCAATGAGGCATGTGATGACATATGTTCAGGGTGTACAAACAGAGGTTATATGTGCTAATAAGAGTGTATGGGATGAAGGGGGTATATATAGTATTCATGTCAGAAATAATATATTCCACAACGATTTGATAACAATTTAGCTACTGTCAGCCAATCCCACCTTCTTTTTATAATCTAATCCAGCATAATGTTGGCTTCTCTGTTGCATGGAGACGAATTCATGTTTTTTCATAAATTAAAATGAATTAAACTGAAACAAATGTTCTGTTTAGATATCAGGTTGATAACATGGACAAACTTACCGTGTCCAGTGCAACGAAGGAAGACGTTTTTATGGCCAATACCATGGCAGGCCAAAGCTCATTGAAGGTATCATTCTGGACATCAATAACGGGAACAACCATAGAGGAAGCCATGTTTACCCCAAAGTAATTGTACAGAAAGCAAAAACAGCTCCGATTCGTGAACGAAAAGTTTCCTGCAGTCACAGACGGATAACTGGAATATTATCTATCTTAAATTACTACCTTGTCAATATTTCCATTATCAACTGTTCTATGCAGAGCCCTTGATTGTTGTTTGATTATTATATTACCTTTATACATTCGGCATTTGTTTTAGTTCATATATTTGTACTTGTTCTGATAGGCAGCTAACCGCGCTTCCACCGTAAACATTTCAACGTGCTTTTCGGGGTCCTGTGACAAAAAGCCCATAGCAGGTGCAGTGTTACCTGAGAGGAAATGTAAAATATTTGCCCGTGAATGTATGCAAAACAATCTTTAGGATAATAAATATCCATGTGTTAATCGGATGTTCCGTACTTGTTGTTTTATCTTTTCATTCTTTCTTGAATTGTGTCTTTTCAATAAACATTTCAAGCAGGCGCCTGCGACAGCTTCACATAAACAATACGTCACTATGCCTAACTGTCGGAGTGAAGAGCGCCATTTTGGCTCAAACTAAGTCAGAAACATTTTATCCTCGATAAGATTTTTTAAAATTGTAACAAATATATACTATGTAAAAGCCTGCAAAACACAACTCTGGTTTCCACGAGTTACCTTTTCATTATTGTATAACTTTTTTCTCGTTTATACACCGCGTAAGTAGTAAATAAAAGTGATGATAAAAATCCCCAGCTGAGCTTCGTTGGCAGCCAAGCTATCTTGACGTTTGCTATATTTAGATCTGCTGTTTGTTTTAACCGGAGCAATGGGTGGGTGTTCTGCTCCAAACTGCTCTAATTCAACGAGCATAGGAAAACAGCTGTTCAGGTTCCCCAAAGACCCTCTGCGGAAGAAGAAATGGGTGATGAACTGCAGACGGGACTTCGAGCCCACTCCTCACTCCAGACTCTGTCAGGTACATCAATGATCAACAATCATCTCTCTTCAATCAGTCTGTTTTTCGGTTATATACCAATTTGTTGTTGTTAAACTACATTGAAGTCTTTAATATGCAACACTGAGTTAATACACTTGCTGTTCTTTAACAACTCAAAAGCATAATATGCCATACATAACATTTGAGTCATCTGATCATGTTAAAGGAGCCTGTGTTTTGTATTACAGCTATGTTAGGATGGCATGTTTTGCATATATTAATATTAATGTGACAATATATTGTAATGTATGAATAGATAAGTCACATTTATTTTCCTGCATTAATACAGCATAGTAATAGTTAAGTCTCAGAGTTCCTATATGTGTGTAACATTGTATTATTCCTCACCATCATGTGACAATATCAAGAGTGCTGTTAAGCAGAGCAGCTTTTACCAGCCGTACAGATATTTAACCTCCATTATAAACCAAAATCGATGTAAGCTACCGAAGTATGTCTAAATCCCAGGGCGATAATGTATCTGAAACAAGTAGCTTTAAAAAGTGACACACTTGATCTTATAGAAATATGTGTCTGCAGAAGTTATAACGTGTTTCCAACATAGGATTTGGCAATGAAAGCAGGTGATCAGTTCAAAAGCAGATAGTTTATAAAGATAAGATACATTCTCCTCTGGGTTCACCCGATTGCCACTTCGACAATGCTTTTATTCTGGAACCTCTGAACTTTTCACACACTATTCTTATGTATTGTGTTTTGGTGTATCATTCATTAAATACAAATGTATGTGTATTCCTATCTTTTTCCCACCAGGACCATTTTGAGCCATGCCAGTTTGAGGAGATAGCAAGGTCTCCGGCGGGGGGGAGGAAGCTGAAGCCCAACGCCATCCCCAGTCTGTTCAAATGTGGAGATCTTCCTTACCCAGCACTCACTTCTCCTTACATCTTGATGTCAATGAAGCATGAACCAGGTACGTCTGCAAGGACCAGGGATGAAAATCCTTGCATATTTTTATTTATTTTAAAAATAACCGTGCAGCCAATCAATCAGAAACATATTGCAAGGCATTAGGGCTGCATGATTTTGAAAATATAACAAATAGTGATAATATTAACTGTTGCAATATGATTGACAATATTATTCACATCATCTTTGAAAAAAAATTTAAACTGATAATAGTGTGAGTCAAAAAAAGATTTTAGATTAAGTCCCTAGATTATCCTTTATAGTCAATACTCTGCAGCACCACAATATTTAATTAAGATATTTTCACATATTTTGCCTTTACCAAATATTGAGCCTACTGCGATATTTCACCAGTCCATAATTTTCAATTTGATATATATCATTAGGGGTGCACCGAATGGGAAATTCTCGGCCGATACCGAAAATAGGAAACAGTTTGCCGAAAACCGAATGCTGAAAGGCCGAAAATGATTAATAGAAATATATATATATATAATGTATACATTTTTTACCAATGTTGTTCAGCTGCCTGATTATGGAAAAAGACATGATTATGGCAAAACTTAACTTAAATAATAATCACTATTATGGGTCCATAAAACATTTATTCAGCACTTTTGAATGCATACAGTACATTAATTCCAAGTCAAATGCATTTTCTTTATCTACTGGAGGATAACTACACAAGTGCATTCAGAACAAAGCCAGAGTGCTTAAAACTGCATAAACCATCTAGGCCAGAAGGCGCCTACAACAACATAGTGTAACATAAAGACGCGAACAGCCAGGTCTTCAACAACAACAAATGCACCTAATACGTGCCATGCATACAAATGTACAAACGCGATAAATCCACATGAAATGTAACTATTTACCAAACTGAAATTACAAATTCAGTCACAGAATCTGTAAAATAAGCTGTATGTCCTCATAAGCAAAGTAGTAAAACATGTATAAAGATACATAAAGTGAAAACGGACACAAATCACAATCAATTACAAATTATAAATTACAATTTCAAGAATCTGCAAATAAGGTGGTCTGCCTCATGGAGCAATGTAAAACAACATTGTATCATTTAGATCCGATTAGAACAATATCATTGAATACTGTGCCTGCGGCATTTCCCCCTAATTAGACCCCTCCAGAAAAACCGCGGGCCAAAATCCCTTAATTATGCGGCTAAAATCAATTGATTATGCGGGCTAAAATCCTTGATTATGCGATAAAAATGCGGCGGTTTTTTATGGTGATTTTATGTGGAACAATTGCGGGCAAGCTTGCGTAATACCTGCGCGAAAGTTGCGACAATATGCGGAAAGTTGCGAAATATGCCCGAACAGTTGGAAATATGCGGGAAGCGGAAAAAAGGTGATTAATTCTCTATCCGTCCACCTTGTTACTCAGCTACGTACTGAATGAAAGGAGTAGGGCACTCCTTTAAAGACTTCTAGAGCGACAACAACCACCTAGAACCAAGCTACCATCACAGAACCCACACACACACACACACACACACACACCACACACACCACCACACACACCACACACACACACACACACACACACACACACACACACACACACACACACACACACACACACACACAACACACACACACACACACACACACACACACACACACCACACACACACACCTACCTCCTCTTCATTATCGTGTTTCATTTACTCGTCGTTTAATCTGACCAGCTTCAAATATTGTAGGCTACTCACCTCGTTCTTGCACCCCTCGAAGGTTTTGGAGTGAGCCCTCTGTGAGCGTGAGTGCTTGGCTTCTTGCCGCAGCAGAACCATTTGAATGTTGAGCGAATCGAAGTGGGTATTCACAGTCGATTTCCTTTTATGCTCCAACACACAGTTCACGGGTAGCAGAACATTCCCCCCACTCGACAAGACATTGGGCGTACTTCTTTGCCCGTCCTTAGCTGAAATGTTCGTGGTAAAGTGATGGATCGACTTTTGTCATTCTTGGTGGCTGAATCCACACCTTCACACGAGTGTTTTGCCTCGTGATGCGCGGGCTGATGACGTTGCGTCATCATCACTATCGTCAAGACGAGTTAACTTTTTTATTTTTTCTCAACTTGGTGGAAAATGCGGGGATTATGCGGCCTTTTGATAAATAGTGCGGACTTTTAAAAATCTGCGGCATTGCTGATTATGCGGAATTCTGCGACGCAGAATCGGTTTTTCCTGGAGGGGT